ACCGTTCAATGATGAAAAAATAATAATAATGAAATAAAAAATAAAGAGCTCAGGCGTGCAGCCGAGCATCCGCGTCCCCGGTGCGCGTGGAAAGAGACCCGCGCCGCTGCATCCCGCGCGCAGCCCGTTTAAACGGCGTGCGTCCTCCGTCCTCTATCCCGTACAGCTGGACGGAAACGCGTGTGCGTTCATGTCGCGGTTCGTCTGTCAGCTGATCTTCCTCCAGTAGCTTGCGTTTTCCTCCCCCCCTCCCCTACCCTCCCCTCCGTTCAGCCTCCCCGACTGGCGTCGACACGCCGGACGAAACGGTTCACCCGGTGGATGACACGGAGACGAGGCGGCTTGCGTCCCGCGCGAAGTTCTCCCGGCACCGGAATCCAGACGCGTGGAAGAAAACACACAAAAAAAAAAAAAAAAAATCCGCCGTCCGGGTCTCCAGCAGCAGAGGGACGGACACACCGTCGCGTCGTCGCCCCGGTACCCGCCGCCGGTCCGCCGAGCCCGTTAGTGCGCACTCGTGTCGCGGACGTCCGCTTGCGTAAAGGAAGCGGAACAATAGATGCAAGCGGATTAAACGAGGGGGGGGTAACATGTAGTTAGTGCAGCCACGGAGGCAGGAGAAGGACGGGGGGGGGGGGTCAATCCGATGGGTTCTCACACGCACAGTGCGGCCGTTTGCACGCCAGCTGAGAGCTCCGACTCGGTGCTTTTGTGCTTTTATTTTGTATTTAAATGTTTTCAATCCACCTGATGAGGATCCTCCATTAAATATATTATTCCGTTTATTTGATGCAGGTTGATGATCATCATCATCACCACCAAAATGAATATATACACATATTCTGCCCTGACTCGCTCCTTAGTTACGTGATAATTGATTTACGTAACTGTGCTTTTCACACACGTGTCACTCAGATGATCTGGCCGCCATCTTTGTTCGTTGAAGGAAATTGTTTCATTCATTTTTCATACCAGTTGGGTCGTGATCTTCAAAAAAAAACCACAAGGGGATTCAAGGTTTGTACCTGCAGTAACGACAGACTATTTATCACTTGATGGTCTCTATCAAGTGGAATTCAACCAAAAGACCTCGGGCCTCGGATAAACTACATTTAACTCTTCATGATGTTGGAGCAAACACCTAAATGACCAATAATTCCAAGTATATAAAAGTATCTTATCTCAGCGTCTACTAGCTTTTTCCAGGGGCTTTCAGCCTTTTTCACACTGGCTTCTTCAGCGCGCGGACTTGGATCAGTTGCCATGGAGACAAATCAGCTAGGACGCGAGCTTAGAAGTTGTTTCCAGAGAACTCAAGTGCATTGCAGCTGCATGTCCTTGTTTGAATTAGTCCTCCATGCACCGCCCCCCTCCCCCCAGGAAGTTTAGAAAGGCAAGTTTCGCATTATGTTTGCACAAGCAAAACAGAAGCTAAAGTGTAAACACGGTGTTTTCTCAGTATTTAATAAGACGGATGGGCCGGCAGGTTGGCCATTACTGAAGAGCCTGCGCAGCACTATTCAACAAATGCGCCTGAAAGCGGGAATTAGAAAATGAAGGTCTGACCCAATTCAATATTGATCTTTAATTACGAGTCAGGACCCCCCCCAATCCCACCAGGCGGCCCCAGGACACGCTTACAGTCCGTGCATTCAGTGTCATCGACTGACCTCGTCGGTGATGTCTAATGAACTGTTGATGAGCCTTAAGCTCATGACTTCCTCCTTCCTCGGTCTCCTGATCTGTTACTCATTTCAAAATAAAAGCTGGGTGTTTTTACCTTAATTCAGGCCCAAAAGGTTGACTATGATTTTTTTTCTGCTAAGGCATACACTTAAAGCACTCATTAACCCCCCTTTAGTGAAATTCCTCACGCTCACCCTCGGCCAGGTGCTTTCGGGCCCGGCGTGTTGATTTTCAGGCGGTTTGCGCCGCGTTGGACCGCCGCGAAGCCGTCTCCCCGAGCAACCCTGATTGTGTCAGACTGGATGTCTGTAATTTACAGAAGAAAGAACCGTTGAAGAACTGTTGAATTAGCCGTTTTATTCCCAGATCCCCAGAGCTTTTCTTTTGAAAGTAAGTACATCTATAAAGCATTTCATGGGCTTCGTCGCTGACAAAAGGACGGCCTGTAGTCAGACAAACGGCCTCTGTGTGGCTCGGAGTAAAGGCACCGTATCACACACACACCCAGCGGCCACTTCAACAGGAACACCTTGTGCAATCCGATCCCATACAAGGCCAGAAGGTTGTTTAGAGAACATCAAGAGGTCTTTCTGATGCTCTGCCAACGTCGTCCATGACAATACGGGTCAAATGTATTTATTAACGACTTTGACACAATATTAGATTGCACAGCTCCTGAAAACATGCCATGAGTCACCGTGAATAAGTTCCCCCCTGTGAGTTATTCATGCTTTTATGCTCATTCCAACGAAATTAAATACCAATTGCTGTCTGTTTTTTTTTTTTTTAACAGACATGTAAAGTCAGTATTTCTGAAAGAGGCCGCGTCCGGTCGTTGAGCTCGGCCAGCCGGTGACGGGCCCGCAGTTCATCACCGGGGATGGATGAGCGAGGCGATACAGTGTCACCGCCGTCCCCGGCACGGAAACGAAACCAAAGCGCAGGCATTCTGCTCTCACAAAGAGAGACACACACACACACACACACACACACACACACACACAACCGGCTCCCATCACCACGGAAACCAGCTGCTGTGTCCAAACGTGGTGCGTGGGGGGGGGGGGGTGGAGAAAGGTGGAACCTCTCAGGGGGAGAAGGGCGCCACATCAGAAGACACCCGCACCAAACGGCTAATTTGGGGTTCGTCAAAAGCGGCACAGGACCCACCACCTTGGCCCCAGAAAATCATTGCAAGGGTGGGGGGCGAGTGTCTCCCCAAAAATATTCTGCAAAGGATCACAGCCTGTAAAAAGTCCTGTGATCCATAACCAATTCAATTCTGTCCCGAGCCGCACTGATGTTTTATTCATCAAGCGAGATGCCAACGGGAGAGTCCATCTCTGTGCTCCACTCACGCCAATACATCAGACGAGACGTAGAGGGGGAGGGGGGCAGGGGGCCCGATGCGGCGTCATAAACATCAGTAATAGCTGACCCTGCATGAGGTGAGACACACCGGGCCAAGCGTATTGAACGTCCAGCCGTCGGCCCCTATGAATTCTGGGTCGCCTGAAATCCCGATGCTGGATCGCAGTAAAGTAGTCGGATCTTTTAGGGAAGTATACTTTTAGTTTATGTCGTGGATTGAAAAGCCTTTTGTCCGTTAACCCTCCATGATTAATGACATTAAGGTAATTCTTCTTTTCTAATAAAACCAACCTTTAGATGTTGTAATAAACTAGACATATGAATGAATGACCCATTTGGTGATTCCTCGTCTCTCGAACAATAAGCTCGTGTTTGTCTGTTCCTTTAATAGAAACGGGACGCGAGGCCCACCGGGTCACCGGGGGGGTCACAACATTTCTGGTTGTGCGACCCGAAGACGGCAACGCGTTGCCCGGTGAGGAAGGCGGGTGCACGTGGTTCAGAGCTTCTCATTGCATAAACACGACATGGGACATGTGAAATGAGAGGGAACGCAAAAGCAAACACACACGTGAAGCGGATGGAAAAGAAAGCCTCCCTCCCTCCCTCTCTCCCTCCCTCCCCAGCACAAGCAAACAGAGCACTAACCATTCCTAAAGAGGGTGGGAGGCGAGGAGAGGCCTCGTTGAGGAGCGAGCGGAGGTCCGCGGCTGCACGACGCCACCCGCTGGCGCCTCATGCGCATCGCACCGGCGAGGCCCAATCGCAGCGGGCGCACAATTCACCCGTTAAGTCATTCGCACAAAACACTCAGACAGCTTCTACCTGGGGGAGTCTGACTGCAGCAAAACAGAAGCCGAACATCAGGTCCAATCCACACAGCATGAGGTTAGTGTGTGTTTGTTTGATTTTTTTTTTTTTTTTTTAAAGGAGCCAAGAAGTCAGTCAGCTGATGAATTTGTGTTAGCAAATGTAATTCATTCACAAGAGGAGACACAGAACAAAGATGATTGTGTGAAACATGATCAATGTACACAATCAGAAGCTGTTGGGCCTCTGTGGGGCGATGAGGATTTTGAAGCGGCTTCTCTTCGGAATGATTTTGAAGATCTTCTCATCTGACCTTCGACGAGACTTCCCCACTATACAATATAAAATATCTTTAAACGTGAGTGTAGATATCAGACATCCAGCGTGTTTCACATCCGTGACATTACAGATTTATTAGTCGGATATCGTTAACTTTGCTCTCTTGCTGATCCGGGAAGTTGAGCTTATTTCACTGTTTACTTACGGTTAATTCCTCTGGATGGGTTTCAGTTTTAAGCCCTTCAAATGCAAATATGTAGCCAGCGACAATGCTGCTAATTAGAGTCTGAAATTAAACTCCTCAGATGTGAAATGAACTTGGCCACCCGGAGGCTCTGCAAGCAAATGATAGAATGCAGCAAACGCCAACAATTAAAACGAGTGGTGATAGTAAATAGGGCACATCCATGCCAGGATGTAACAGAGGAAATGTGCATGTTTGGCCGAGCCGGTTGAAAGCAGCGCGCCAGTCACTGTGAGCGGAATGAACAGCCCCCTCCCCCGGCCCGGCCCCCCCCCCGAGCCGCCGTCTCTGGTCATCACGGCCGAGAGACGGCGTGAACAACTCCAACAGGCAGGCGGCTCATTCGGTTCATTAGACAAAGCAAAGCGTCCTCCAGGTGCGTGAATCCAACGCCTCCCTTAATGTTTGACCTTTGGGAGCCAGTCGCTCTGGTGGCAAAGGTCGCAGCGCGTGTGTCGACGGCGCACTTTCCCTTTTCTCACATCGTTGCTCAAAGGCGCATCAGAAAGGGAAGAAACTGGCCAACAAAGATTTCATTTGTGTGAACTTGAGTGTCAAATGATGCCAAAGTGATTTGAAGGAAGCAAAAGAGGAGACGTGGACGGCGCGCTGCTACAAAGTGAAACTTTAATTTGGTTTACAGTTTGTGACGTGGTTTCATTCGTGGTTGTTAGTCTGACTGCTCATCACAGGGATGGAATGCTGAAAGCTAAAAGAGGAATCAACCAGATCGCTTTCAGATTTGTACATACATATTCATTTTCTAATACATTTTTCTTTATTATATATATTCCCATTTATTTATATAAAATTAAATAAAATCTCTTAATTATTGCAAAATTTAAATTTTCATACTGCAAATAATTGAAGGGCACATGACAATGAAAAAAGAAAAGAAAAATAAACCAATTAAAAAGAGAAATGCAATCGGATATCTCAAGTCGACCATAGCAAAGGATTTAAAACCCTCAGGACTAAAAGCTCCAAATACATTCCGGCGTGTGAAGCCCCCCATGGACATTCCTGTCCCCTGTGATGCGTCACCTGATCACGCTGCAGGAAACATCTCACAGCAGCGCCTGGAGATAAAAGGTACAGCTGCGAGTGCTGGAGAGGTGGCGGTTGGTGCAAAGCGACGGGGTAAACATTATTTGGGCGTCTTTGGGTGGATGACGTCGTTCTGTGGGCGCCTTAAAAGGAACATTTCACTGCGGATCACGTGGAAACCAAATTAGTGTTTTTCCAATGAAGGCAGATTTGGGATCTGTGTGTTTCTCAAAGAACAGATCGACCTTTTCTCCGCTCACAACAATCGTGCGAGACCCAAATGTTCATTGAAGCAGCTTCTGGTAACTAATGTCTGTAAAGATCCCGTCGGAAACTAATGCAAAGACAAATACAGTTTCATACAAAAGTGCATTCCAGTGTTCCACAGAAGAGAGTAATGATAATAATAATGGTCTTTGGGTGAACTTAAAAGGCTTTTCCACACAGAACGAGGATCTCTCTACGGCTACGGAACCAAAAACTGTTCATTATGTCAATATATCAAACAACGCCGTTAATTTGATACACTATTTGATTCAGTCGGAGTGTTTAAAAGGTTTCTTTTGCAAACCAGGAAAAACAAAGTAGTATAATTGAAGCCTTCGCTTCACTCGTCCCACTGAAACAGAACAACTTCAGCAGAAACGGGGGTTTAAATCTGGCGCGCCGTACCGATCAGAGTTTATGGGTGTGGATCACAAATGGAACACGTTTGAAAGACAAACGCGAGAAGCAGAAGGAAAAGGCCACAGCGAAATGAAGCAAACGGGCGAAAAACAAAAGAGTGGAAGTTAAGACCATCGAGCGTTCGTCTGAAGACACGAGCGAATTCTTTTTGAGCGTCGAGCGAGACGAAAGGCAAAAGGTGACGCGTGTGCGACGCCACGGCGTGTGAATACAATAGAAGGTTCTTCTGCAGGCTGTATGGCTTAAGATTAACAGTTCCCGTCCCAAACATTTCCCCCGCGGAGAATGTTTGCCCAAAAATATGCATTTCATTCGAAAACTAAAAAGTATGAAAATAGTGTTTTTCTCTTAACAATGTTTTTGAGCGTCGGTGTGATTGTTTTAATCTGAATGGGAGGTTTTTTTTTTTTTTTTTGGTCTCTTCATATTTGAATCACATCCCCGAAGCAAACAATTGCTTTGACACACACACACACACACACACACAAAATAAATGCACAAATCCCACGGCGCATGCAACTACCCCGTTCCTCTAAGCAGCAAGAAGGAGGATTTGAAAGGGGGGGGGGGGGTCTTTGAGGGGCTTTCAAAGAGCCTTCTCCTTTCGACCCGTCCCTGTTGACATTTCCAGCTCACTCCTCCACGCCGCTGACATTTCCGACAGTAAATTGAATTTTGTGCAGACAGGGAAATGAGATGCTTTAAGGTTTGACCCCCCCCCTGGTCTCTCGGCTACAATTACCCTTTTAAAAATTTGGAAGCATTGGAAAGTACAAGGAAGGGGGAGGGGGGGAGAAAAGGAACACGGACGCGTTCGACAGCAGTGAGCGTACGCTCGCGCTCGCACATTAACACGCTCTGATTTACACGAGTTTACACGCGTTTTTGTGCACAAGGCCGAATACCCTCGTATCCTCGCTGTGGCAAACGCGGCGAGGCATTCACATGCTCTTTGGGGGGGGGGGGGGGGGGGGGGGGGGGTAGCGGGCCTGCTCGGGTTGCTCAGCGCGTTGCCCTCAGATGTAACGGGAGCCTTGTGGGTGTAAGAGGATCAGGGAGGACGCACCGGCCACCAACACCTGGGACACAGAGTCAGCTGAGGATCCGGTGCCAAAGGTTCCATGAGGGGGGGGGGGGGGGTTGGATCCTGAGCAGGACACGCAAAGTGACGCTAACAAGTACGCGTGTGTGTGTGTGTGCGTGCGCAGACCGCCTACTGTGACGCCCGTGTTGGATTTAAGCTTTGATCACGTTTACAATATTACGTGACGGTTAAAAGGTGTCATAGATATAGGTTATTACAATTATATTAATTATACAATAATATTACCAATTTACATATTTTACACACCAATGCTGCATAGAGTTCTTTTTTTTTCGCGCGTCCACACTCTGATTGGATATATTTTGGGGTCAAAAGTGCTGTTAAATGGTGGATGAACATATTTACTGTCCTATAATATTCACTGGATCGATCAACGCATACAAGTACCTCGGAAATTAAAGACAAAAATGCACAGAGTGAAAAAGTTCGACAGACAATAAGGCCAAAGATATGAAGACGATTTCCAGCGAACAGTCAGTGTGATTCTGGATTAAAACAAGCACCATAAAACAAAAAGGCCTATGATTGTTTGGATGGATTCAATCCGGGACAAGAGGCCCAGCACCTCCCAAAGGAGGAAGCTTTACAGACAACAACATGACAACAACTAAGCAGTCGGTACAAAAAGGAAAGGTGATATATCGTCTGAGATGAACACAGACCTTTGGTAATGCATAGTTCTCTCCTGAATGTCTGAATGACTTAACTACTAACTCACTGCAGCCGTGAGGATCCTGTAAGAGCAGCGTAGTTACCAGCGAAAGGCGCTTTCATTTCGGCCTTTTCTCTCTGGTCACAGCGGGAGCCGTTTTGGCTGCTTTGGTGTCTGAACCACAGAGATGACACAGCAGTGAAGCAGCCCCCCTCCCGTCCCCCCCCCCACCCCCAGAAGTGAAGGCGTTTCCCTTCCCGTCCGCTCAGGGCAGGAAGGGCTCGTCCTCGTCCTCGTCGGCGCTGGGCCCCGGGTCGCTCAGGCACCTCGTCAGCTGCTCCCTGCGTCCGTCCTCCCCCCTCGGCCTCATAGTCAGGCCCTGGTCCTCCTCCTCCTCCCGCCGGCTGCCGTTCGCTCTGAACTCGTCCATCAGGTTGACGGAGTCGGGGGACTGGGGGGAGGCCAGGTCCACCTGGATGGTCGGCACGCTGTCTCGCTTCGGGCGGTAGGCCTGCGGGTCTGCAACGTGAGAGTCAGCTTCAGCAACGCGTTCAAGACGAAAGGGATGGCGTGCACGGGAGGGAGGGGAGGGGGGGGGGGGGGGGGGGGGTTCGGGGTTCAACAAGGAAACAGTTCACTGCACGAAATTGGAGGCTGCAAGACCTTTCCAAATACGGCACAACAGAGAACAAGGCACGGGGAGCCACGATGACTGAATGATTCATCAACACACACAACCCCCCCCCCCCCCCTCTCCTCCCCTCCCCCAGTTATTGATGGTCGATGGATGATCAACGAGCAACACGTCCGACACATGCACGTTAGGGTCGCTGCCAAACGGGAACTCTCTCTCCAGCCGCCACGTACCTGGAGAGCTTTGCTTTCCTTTCTGCTGCTGTGCGGGTTTGAAATCAGTTTCTGTGCCTAAAATGAAACCACACAGCGGTTTACACGCCGGCCGCCGCGTGCACGTGAAGTGCATGTGAAGTAGCGGTGCTTTGTCAAGTGCTTATTGCCCTCCCCCCCTCCCCGGGTGTCTCACGCGGTGCCTTTCAGCTGGGACGGACGCGTTTACCTGAAGCCAGCCGGGCTCTGCACAAGGTCGGCGAGTCGGGCGGAGCAGCCGGCAACGTCAGGTTGTTCATGTGGATTATCTGGGAACAGACAGGGAGGTCGTTCAAATACACACACACACACACACAATCGGGCTGGAGGTCACGAGCCATCGATATCTCAGAAGGAACGTTGACTGTAAGGAACGGACATTCAATTTAGCCCAAACATCCATTTCTGTTATGTAATTTAAGGCTGACGAAACAGAAGTCAGTGGGAGCGCCGCTCAGCCGCGCAAATGAATCAGCCCCCATTACTGTGGAGGGAAAACGCATCCCGGAGACTGAAGGGGGACTTTAATTAGAACACAAATCACTGCTGCTGCAGTGAAAATGACAGAACTGCTCTCTTTTTTCTTTTCTTTTCTTGTCTCGTGTGTTTTCTACTTTGGATTAAGCAGCAGAACCAATGCGGCGGGATCACAAAACGGGTTGCCGAGGCTCGTACCTTCTTCTCCAGCTCGATTATCTTTTGCTTCTTGATGATGAAGTCACTGAAGCCCTCCTCGTACGGGTCGGCCACCAGAGTGTGTCTGTTGTAGGAGCGCAGCTGAGAGACAAAAGACACAAACATTAGAGGACAACCTGATGAGTAACACATGCAAGTTTGAAGCGCGTGAAAGACGGAAGCTTCTGGCACAATTTGTTTCTCTCACAGATCTGAAGAAGTTATAAGGACATTGTATTCGTGTCCTCAACTCAGATCATGATGACCACCAAGGAAAATCTATTCAGAGTGCTTTTCTGTGTCGCCACAAATCAAAGTCTGTGTCCGTCAACGTACGAGCAAAGCGACTGATTTGATTCCAACAAATCAATGCGCTCCACTGTGGTCCGGTGCCACTTTGTGCATCAGTGCAAATCAACATGAACAGCGATGCGCTGTGAACTCGGGCCGTGGCTCCTGCAGCGGCGTTACCCTCTGTCGCGTCCTCTGCAGGTTGCTCCTGAGGATGGTCCTGATCTCCTCCTCTCGGCCTTTGGGCAGCTGGGGCAGAGCTCTCTGGACGGGCTTGGCAGCAGCCGGCTTCTTCGGCTGGATGTTCCTGAAGAAAAAAAAAGATGGAAAAAAAGGGACGACTTTCATAGACTTTCTCGCCTCGTCTCTGGCTGCTTTGGTTGTAGCAGATTAAAAACAAAAAAGGCAACGATCATTCGCTTTTTAAAAAACAAAATGGGATCATTTTTATGATGACGTTTCAAACACGAACCTCCACTGCTGGATGTCAATTGAGTGACTATTTGCCAAATCAAATTAAAAAGGCGACGACGTGACAAAATCCTGTCAAAACACCTCTGCTGCCCCCATGTGGCCGGAGCAGTGTAAGGCCTTAAACTGGGGACAGGGTGGAAACTAAATGAGTGTAAAATCCGACTCACTGCATGGAAACTGTGGAGGGCAGAGCAGATGGCGGCTTGAACCCCCCGCCGCTCTCCACCAGCTCGATGGCCTGCTTCATCTCCATCTTGTGGTAGAAGGCGATGAGCTGGGGCTCCCGGCCGCGTTCGTCGGCTATCAGGCACTTCTTCACGTACTTCTTGTTGATGCGGTTCAGTCTGGAAGGAGGAGATGAGCGAGGGAGGACAAAAAGGGACAAAGGGAGAGATGTGAGAGCTTTGACACAGCCGGAGTCACTGTGTCTTCTCACACCGGTAAAATAAATAGGCAGAGATTTAACAACGGAAATACAAAACCCTTTGTTACAATTTCTCAGAGAAATACATTTTATTTTCATCCTTCCCTGATGACCACAAGAGAAAAAGTAAAGCTCATACTTGTCCTTCCAGTGATGGTGTCCATAGTGTCCACAAATGTCCTCGATTCCAGTTAGTAGGTGGTCAAGGAACTGAGGATATAAAAAAAAAAGGACAGAACTTTCAATACGCCCTCGTGCTTCTCTCTGCAGGATTTTAATATTGTACCTCGCTAATAAACACAACATCCCGGGGGCCCGTGTTGTACGTGTACGTGATTTAGAGCCATCGAGTTGGTCAAACCCTACTTTTCTGCTGGGTATTTCATACAGAATACTGAACCGCCGTCGCTAGCCGGCGAGGACGAGCTGTAAGAGGACGACGCCGCTGGGAGAAGACCGGTGACAGGCAGCGTCGCTATGGCAACGAGTCAGTAAGCAGAGCCACGGCATTTACTGCCGCTTTATGTCAACTCGTACGTAAACGTCACACTAATGGGACTATTAACACCAATCTAATGAGATATGACTCCATACTCGATCTCAGAACATCACGATCCACATATACACGAATTCGAGTCCATAAAGGCAACAAAGCCATCAAAATCGTCCAGAAGCGGATTGAAAGGACCTCGCTGCCTCTTTCTGTGTCCGGTGCCGGTCACTTCCGGGCGTTTCCCAGAGGAGAAGCCATTTACACAGCCTCTCTGAAGCCGGCTTACCGCAAAGGCCCAAGGGAAGAACACTGAGTGAGTGTGTGTGCTTATCTGAGCTGTATTAATAGCCTTCGAACACTCTTGTGGAGCATCGTGGTGACTCATTAATGTGTCTACATTTACATTTTCCATTTAGCTGACGCATTCATCCGAAGCGACTTACAATAAGTGCATTCAACAGAGAGGGTTCAGAGAGTCGAATTTCTTCAAGAAACTACAAAGTGCTATACGTGCTAACAGGGTGCTAAAGGGTCCAGGTGAAGCCGGTGGAGGCGTGTTTTTAGCTACTGTCTGATGGCGGGGACGTCATGTTTGCACTGTGCACGTCCACCATACAGGACGATGCATGAGAAGAAGTACCAGCTCACGGCCAGTAGGTGGAGGCAGTGATCCAGGAATGGCCTCACAGGCTGGTTAACAGATGATCAACTTTGGAAGTCGTGGCTCAAATTTGACATAAATACGACAGAATGAATGCATCACATTCATTTTTTTTTGGTGGTGTGGTAAGAAACGTGTCCAAGACGTCGTTCATCAGCTGCACACCAAAAGGCCGTGGGTGAGTGATATGCATGAGGCACCAAGAGGTCACCTGCTGTGGGTGAAAGGACTCACCTGGGTGTGGATTTCCTCATTAATCGTCCGCTTGGCCTCCTGTTTCTTCTTCACTGCCAGCAGCTCCACGAGGGGCTTGATGGTCATGCCCTGCAAGGCGGGACAACAAAGCCGTATTCATCATTCACCCCCTGACGTTGACTAAAGAAAGAAACACGCGCTTATCGCCAACCATAAAAAGGTTTGCGTGAATGAAATCAGAAGGTTTAAAACTGGTCGTTGGCCGTGTTTATAATCTTGTGTCAGACTAAAAGGAACTGTCACACATTCTCTGGCTCAGTTCCTAGATGGTGATTAACAAACACATCAGGTTCTTTTTGCAAGAACGCGGCCGGTCTCACACCACTTTAGTGTCGACATTTGGGCGAACTCCTTCGCGTGGTTAAGAGTGCTTAAGTAGTTAAAAGCAGAGAAATGACTTCAGTTTAAGAGAAATCCTGAAGACTGAAATGCTAAAATGTTGATGCAAGAGTGATGCAATCACAGTGGAACAATAAAGGGATCATAAAACACTCAACTGATAAGGTAAACGTCAACAAACACTGCTTTAGTTGTGCGTGAAATACTCTAACTTTGATTTTAGGAACCGGTTTAGCGACAAACCTCGATTCTTCGGTTTAACAGGAAAAAGCTGTTCAGTTGCCAACAGGATTAAGAAAACTATGGAGGGATGAAGATGAGTCTAATGTTCGGCTGCTGCTCGATTATAACCAGTAGAGTGTGTGTGTGTGTGTGTGTGCACACGCTCGTTCATGTCTGCACCTACAATCATGCAATTATTCTTGAGGAGATTAAGCAGACCATCTGGAGGACTGCAGCGGCTGACAGGAGTTCTGCTCTTTGACGTTACCCGGTCACGTGACCTCACGCATGCAGAGGAAGCCACACTTTCACCACCTCGTCACCACAATAAAATCACACAAACCGAGACAGTTTGAGGGCACAACTATGATAAAGATCCCTTTCATCTGTTTCAAATAACCATACGATCCCAGTCTCGTCGTACTTTTAAATGACCCCACACTGCGGCAGAAAGGGACGCCCCCTCCCCCTCCCCATCAGGCTGCCATTGCTGAATCCAGCAGCATAAATAAAACATGATTCTGAACTCGCCTTTGAGGAGAGATGTCTTCTGGGTTGTTGTTTTTAGCTGCCTCCATTCTGGGTCTAAAACGCTCTCACTAAAGGGACTAGTTCATCTCGCAGGACGGGACGGATTAAATGCATCGAGTCCTCTGCCGCTGGTCTCCATCTCGCCTTCGGGGGTCGAGTTTATGTGGACTTCTGTGTCCCTCCGTGAACCCCATTGTGTGTTCCTTCTGCATGCGTTTTAGATTTGATGCAAAAAGGAGAAACTGAAATCTAATTTCCCCAAACCAGCTGGAGCCGTTTACTTCAAGAACCAAGAAGAAGAAATGCGCGAGCGTCCCGTGATGTTCGCGCGACTTCTCTACGTCGAACTGAATGGTTGCAAATAAAAAATAAAGATTGATGTGAATTCAGACGGAGATCTAACGGAAACTCAAACCAGACCAAAGACAATGAGTTAAGATGATGAAAGAAAACGAGATGTGAATAAAACCTCGTGTCTGACTCACCTGAACAAAGACCGTGAAGAAGATGACGGTGATGATGGCCGTGAGGAACATGTCTCTCATGGGAAAGTGCTTCTCCTCAAGCAGGAAGCCGAGGGAGAAGGCGATGGCGCCGCGCAGGCCGCCGTAGGCCACGATGAACTGGTCCTTGGTCGTCAGCTTGACGATGCGGAACTTGTTGATCACGAAGGTCAGACCAATCACACCTGAGGGGGGGGTCACAGTGAACATGTGAGGTTTGTGCTTTGTGTTTCAGGACGTCACAGTTCTTTTTCTTCAATTAAAAAGACTTAAAGATTAAAGAACGGCATTCTGCAGAAAGTATTGCCCCCGAAAAGGATGTGATTTCTAGGAAGCCACTTAAAACCTACGAAAACATCTGAATGGCTCGTGTTACGGATCAATCAGCAGCTCTGGTCTTGTGTGAGATGCTTAATGCCGATTAAAGAACTGCTGAAGACGTCTCATCGTTTCTCTCTGATGATGAAACACCAGCCGGCGGTCACGTGACGGGCCTGAAGAGAACCCGCCTTCCCTCCCGCAGACGTCTGTGTGATGAAACGCAGTTCCCCTTCCCCGAGCAGAAGGACTTCTGCCCTCAAAGTGCACTTTAATGTTTGTTGATACAAAAAGGAACTTATGATGGTTTCATTTGAGCCCAGTCGATGACGGATGCGTTCAATTAGCAGCCCTTCAAGATGAATGCCCACCAGCAGGTTCTCTTCCCCAGACTCTTAAGTGCTTCCTCGCCCCGCAGGTTTCCGTGGAACGTGGGAACATCTGGACTGTGGTTCTTCCTGCCTGACATCCACCGATCATTATTAGCTATAATCGCATTAGTATTGCCTGGCCCCGTTACTGCTTCGGTCAACATTGTCGAGGAACAGATTGTAAAGCACATTTTTGATTTTGGACTAAACTAAATTAATTGAATTAAAAGATGTGTCCACAAAAGGCGAAGACTGCTTGAGCGAATTAACCCCACTTCCTGTCGCTAGGTAACCGTTTCCTCCCAACGCTACACACGCCGGCACCGTGCCACTACAGTCATTTGAAGAGATTGTCACAACCAGCGGTCTGACCTATGACCCGCGACACCAGACACAGAAGGACGGTGACGGTGACGAAGGTCCAGTTCCAGCTGTGAGGTCCGTCCACCGTGGCCACGCCCAGAAAGATGAAGATGAGCGTCTCGCTGACGCTGCTCCACATCTTCAGGAAGTACTTGATGGTGGTGTGGGACTTGTGGGATATGTTGGCCTCCACATAGGGCCGCATCACCGCTCCACAAGCTATTAACCTGCATGAAAATAGGCAGACGTTTGTCAAACGATACATACGCGTGTGTGTATATATAAGAAAATTTAACAGATTCCATGAGTCCTAATGTGTTGGAAATGCTGGGATGGTTTGTCATCCCAAATGGAACATGGTTGAATAATGAAGTGGACTTTAGAAAAAGGTTTTGTCAGAGGGTTTCCTCTCGGTGAGAACAAAGATTTCTCGCACTTCTCTATTCCGTTCTGGTGTCATGCAATGTTTCCGGGTCACATGTCCCACGAGCCCCAGCAGCTTCTCGCCCCCTTCACTCACATTCCACTTCCTCCTCAAAGTCAATATTGGTTTGGTCAACGTTTTTGCCTTTACTTTCCCAATACAAATGCAGTTTTTAGATAACACTGACAGGACACAGCCGGACTCTGGAAGAGATCGTCCTTGAAGCTGCTCATCTTTGGGCCCCGACACTCGGTAAATCATCTCCTCCGCTCCGCAACATCAATTACCTCCAGCACCGTAACCAGAAAATAGATTGAAAAATACCAGAGGAGCCGATGAGAAACGGCACCGGAGGGCACCTGAGGTCGGGATGCCAATAAATGAAGGCTCGGCTTGACGTTTGATCGGATCAATCAATCAAACTAGTGGTATAGCGAGTGCAATCTGCAAAGATTTATTGGCGAGATAAGCTCCGGGCAATGACTCAAATAGGTTTTCCCTGCAGTGGAAAGGTTGTACTATCTAATCTGGCTGAGGGAAAATCCACATATTAAAAGATGGGAGACAGCTGCAGGATTCCACTGAAACCAGAGGTTCCACTGTTCTACGCTACATATGGGAAATAAAGCCAAAGATCAAAAGATACATGAGGTGGACTCTGCTCCTCATTAAAACAAAGCTGGGTTATATTTTAAGAAAATGATTAACCTTAACATATGAATATAGAATAGATTCAGTGAAGTGGTGTTGAAATGATGCTCGAGTTGTACAGAAGACAGACATGGATTATACAGTACATTCTGAAAATGTGTCATTCTCAATACGATTCATGAATAATGCATAAAAACCACCCTGCCCCAAACTTACGCCATGATGCCAGAGAGGTGGAACATCTCAGCTGACAGGTAGGCCATGTAGCTGTACACGAAGACAAAAAGGGGCTCTATGACACGTACGTGGGAGGTGAAGCGTGAGGTGAAGGCGGCCAGGAACCCATAGATCGCTCCCACTAGAACGCCCCCCAACGCAACCACCAGGAAGGAGATGACTCCCAGGACGCCGTCCAATATCGTCACTGTGCCAGCACCTGAATACTCCTCAAACAGGTGGTACAGCACCTGGGAGACGAGGAGCGGGAATAGACAAGATTAGCAATAATGTGACGAGATGTTTCTCACACTACTAATTGCGTAATGTAATGCCAGACAGGGTAATCATGCAGATCAACTGAATGGAGCAGATGCTTCACGATGACCTGCTGGTTTGTGCATTGAACCTGAAGCTGAACTTGTGGCCTGTCGACAAACTGAGATGAAGATGTTCTTCCAAGTAAGTACTAAGGGAGTTTTTAAGTTGCTTCTCAGACTGCTGAGCGAAACAGCGCTTTAGCTTTCATTTGCAAATGACTTGATGCTCTTGATGATATTGATGTTCCTCTGAAGCCTCAGAGGAACATCAATATCATCTACTTCCTACTCGAAAGGTCCACCTTACTGGAGAAACAATAAACGCAGGAAAAAGGAGGGTTGGTCCCTCACCACAGTGACGGCATCGTTGAGCAGCGATTCGCCGAACACCAGGATGTGCAGCAGCTCATTGATGTGGATCTCCTCGAACACGGCGAGCACGGCGACCGGATCCACGGCCGAGATGATGGAGGCGAACAGCAGGCAGGGCAGGAGCTCCAGGTTGTGGAGGTCGGACGGATTTCCCGGCTGGATCTGACACACGGCGTACAGCAGACCCCCCACGAAGAAGGCGTTCCACAAGGTCCCCACGACGGCGAACATCAGGATGGTGCCCAGGTTCTCCATGAAGGGGCGGATGGGCAGGAAGTAGCCGGCATCCAGGATGATGGGCGGCAGCAGGCAGAGGAAGAACGACTGGGAGTCCAGCACCGGGGGGACCTTTTCTCCGGCTAGTTTGATGAACCCCCCCACAAGCAGACCCACCACGATCAACAGGCAGCTCTCGGGCACAATGCTGGAGAGCCGAGGAATCAGGTGGAAGCCTGTGGGAAGAGAGTGAGAGTGAGATGAGATGCGGTGGCAGGGGGGAAGTGAAAGATCGAGGGAGTGATTTACCTGGAAGGCCTCAGTAGTATTTGGGAGAGTTTCAGAAATGGTGTGTGTGTGTGTGTGTGTTTCCATCTGAGTAACTGGAAATCCTCCCGGCGTTTTTTTCGCCACCCGACATTACGAGAATAACGAGCTGTGACATTCCACACCGGCATCACGGTTGAACTTTGCAGGTAAGAGGAGGCGGTTCTTGAGAAAAGGAAGCACTCTGACATCGCAGACATGTCAAAGCTCGTTTTGATTATTACCGCTCTACAAAGAAAAATGTGTTGAAGAACTGATGTTCTCAGCATGTGCTTTAAATATAAATACACTTTGGAACCTTCACCCCTGAATGTGTGTAGTTTGGGTTACAGGAGAAGGGTGGAGTCACTGGTGTGACACGTAGCCACCGCGATGGTCCCGGAATTCTTGAGAGGGAAAAATGTAAATAATATGCAAAACATTATTAGTAGAACAGGTTGCACGTGACATGCCAGCAAGTCAAGCCTGCAAAGAGGAGACATCCTTCAACTCCTATTTGTCTTCTCGATTACCCAGCTGAGCCAATTTAGGATGAGCCCCACGTGAATGAAGTAACCTTCTGCAACGATGTGCACTTACTGCCTAACTGTTAACAACAGCGTCTGGGCTTTAAAGGGCTCGCCCAACATGGCCAACTAGTCAGTTGGTACCGGGACTACAAACTTCCATCTCACATCTACACACAGGAGACAAAGCTGCGTGGTGAGGTGACGCCTGCAGCGCGTGTGTGTTAATCGCTAAACAAAAGGAGCTGAAAACTTCAAAGAGGCCTTGGCCTGCGTCGCATAGTGAGAAGTCTTTCCACCGGCTATATTTACTGCACACAGACCCGTCATATTCCAGCCGGCACTGTATCAGTTAACCTCACGCCGCATTGACACGGACACACACACACACACACGGGAGAAATATGAGCCCAGTAAGGCTACATGCGCGCACACGGGCTAAACAATGTCACCGGGGCAAAGCGCGGTGATAGTGGCTGTTTGTCCACTCTGCCCCAAACGCTTAGATTCACGTCGACGAAAAGAAGTTGAATCCATGGCGTTGGGATCGAAGCGCACGCATCGATAAGCACCGCGGCTGCACTTCTGTAAAGGAGCCCCGGGGGCGTGTTCCCTCCTGAGGTGGGAGGGCCGGGGCAGGCAGGCGAGCCGCTCAGGCCTGCTGCAGTTTGCTCGCAGGTGCACAACGAGGATTTCACTTACATTGCATTTCACTTACACTTACATTGCATTCTTATGTAACTGGCAAGCGAAGCCTTGCATTCTTGCAAAAACATGCATTCTTTGTAAAATTGTAAGGGCGGGGGGAAAAGGTGACAACGGGTGGGGGTTGGATTGTGTTATCCCAAAAAAAAGTGCGCCAATGTAAAATAATCTTATCATAAAAACCAGGATGGGTGCAGCGTGGTTTTATTAAGCAAAGTTCACATCGTGTCACCACATCAAAGTCGTTTGATTGACCCTCAGGCTTTTATAACCATTGTTGCGTCCAAAAATTCTAAACTGACGTGATTAGATAATAGATCTCAGAGCGCCAAAACTTGTACGGTGTAAGTATCGGTGATAACGTCCATTTGGAGTGAAAGGATGTTTCATTCTAACGCTGCCCAGGACTCAACACATGGAAGTTCTATTGCGAGGAGCCCGCAGGGCGGCTAGCTAGTACTTTTCCTTCTTACAACTTTTGCCCTTTTTATATCATCTTTTCAATTTAAGTATAAGATAATTGTAACATTTTTAGAGGCTCCTAAAAAAAGTCCTAATCAGCGTTTGGTTGCACTTTGCTCCGCCCTCTCGTGTGACGTCAGGTAGCGTCAGAAAGCCTCTGTGAGAAGACGTCTGACGCAGGGGGAGGGAGCGTTCATACTTGGAGACAACACTTTTACTGTTTCAGCCCACGAGCTCCACAAGTGCACGCCTGTAGATTGTGCAGCTGGAGCTCTGAGGAAAGAAGGGGGGGGGGGGTCGTTTGTCTTAAATGGTGTAAGGAGACCTAAGTTACCCACAGCGAGATGTCAGACTGAGCGCGTGTCTCTTGACGGAAACAAGAGGAACCGCGGATAACAGGAGCTCAGCAGCCAGGCGGGTTAGCAAAGATATTCTGTGACAGCGGTTGTGGAGACCACTGAGACCACATTAGGTCTTCAGAAGAAAGCATCAACCGTCCTGCTGGAGGCTTCCAAAATCAAAGCTCAATAAGCCCCATAAATGAGGACATGACGTCCACAACCCCTCAACTCCCCTTGGACTCTTCTACATCATTAAGTCTGAGGCCTCAAAACACCTGCACACCTCCAGCTTATTAGTCCCTGCTAGAATGGAACAGATCTGTGTTAGTGTGCAGATCTTTTTTTTTACGCGTGCATGTAAAGAACAAGTTAAATGCGGCAGTAACACTTCATTTATGCACAAGTTCGGTATGCTGACGAGCACGTTCACCTGTTGGAAGCCGTGCGGGCCGTACGAGGAGTTGGGGCGACGCCAACAACTGCGAGCAGAGAGCGTTTACGTCTCCCAGCCACGCCTCCAGGGGCCTTCTTATCTGTGTCGCTCCCAAAGCACATTACCCACGTTTGCACTGTTACTCACGGGGAGAATAAACATCCTTCAGAATGAGCTGGAAACAAAAGAAAGAGCCACCACTGAAAGAAAGTACTATTATGCAAGAAGCGATAAGGCGGCAAAGAATGTGTCTGATAGATCAATCCGATGCAGAAAGGACTTTAAACTCTTTAAAAGTGTTTAGAACTGCAGGGGGGAGAAAACAAGCAGGGGTGTTATTGGAGGATAAGGAGTCCCGTGAGTCTTTGTCCTTCTAAATGACACTCGCTTATGAACCGGAGCCAGCGGCTCCACGCTTTGACTCCATGAATCGTGATCCACAAATAGGCCACGACGAAGTGGAATTTTAAGTTGGATCAGGTCATTAGAGATAAAAGAAATATGAAGGTGGTGCTCATCTTTTGAAAAATCACCACGCCATCGTATGCTCTGCTGGGGAGTTCCATATGAAATTCACTGTAATATGGAATGATCCGTATCAAAGCAAAGGTTACATTCTTCAGTCTAAACCTTTTTCGTGGTATTTCGGTCTCACCTCAACATACGCGGTGGAATAAACCCCAGCTGCTCACAGAAGAACATCCCACCCCAGAGCTCGCAAACCCCCGGAAATGTCGGAGCCCTGCGATGCACCCGTTCACACAAATCCTTTAATAAAGACAAGGACAGAACAGTCCTCGAGGGACGAGCGGACAGGTCACGACCGAATGGACCTCAAGCGCCTTACAGCGGCAACTCAACACTGGATCAGAGAGTGACTCATTCAAAATGAGCCATTTAGGGGGAGGGGGGGGGGGGGGGGTGAAGACGGTGCATGCCGGACACACCAAGGAAGAGAATGAGACAAAAATCCCATTGGAGCTCCGTCTGTAACCTCAAAGGCTCCGTGGAAGCGGATCCGAAACGCGGCAAAGAGTTTTCACATTCTTACATTTCCGCGGCGTGGGTCCAATTACGGCCTTCGGTGCACGTCAGCGCAAAAGCCACGAGGAGATAAGAATCAATTGTCGTGCTCGATCGCGGTGTCGTCAAGACACAAGCAGGAAGGGAGGTAGGAGGTAGGAGGCCAAAACAAAGAATGAAAGAAAACCCTGCGTGGAAGGATTTCCGTGCAGGAGCCTGGAACTATGACATCAGACGGTTCCTTGTGGCTGCTCTCTAATAATGGCAGGCGCTGCGTCCTGGCCCCGTCCCCCGTCCCCCCCAGGGTTATCAAAACGCCACTAAAGGGTCGCGGCCCTGTCCCTTCAGCGCGTGCACTCGCTGCACGAGATCCTTTCCCAGAGCCGGGCACTGCGCGCTGTTGCCAGGTGACTAATTGTAACGCTGCTGGCAACCAGACCTGCCGGACTGAGCGAGCACAAAAGAGGGAAAACATTTAAACAGCGGGGGGCTTTGTTGGAGGAGGTGATTGACGATACGGCCGCTTGAGTCCTTTCCAAGAAATCGAGGCGTTTAACCGGCTGGCCGACGTTCCGACGCCGCGATACGTGGAACACAAGAAGGTCAACATACACATTTATTTCACGGCGACGCAGGCCTGGTCCCTGACAACGGCAGGAAAAAAACCGGCGCGTTTGTGAGTCATCGTTTGATTGTTTTAATGCAGGTCGCTTGTGCAGGACCAGGGTTGGTTTAAATGATTAATAAGTAATAAGGGCCTGCTGACGCCATATCTACACAACAATGGCCGCTCACGTGGGCGACCAGTCGCGTGGATTCCAGGCGACGGAAACGTTTGATCCTCACTTCCATTCCCAAGCACATCTCGCACCAACGACTACTGAACGGGGTGGAATTCAGTGACGGTTCATCAAACGTCGGTTACAACCAGTACTGAACAAAAGTCTTCCCGCGGTAACGTTCAGGCCGTCGGGGGTTGACGAACAGGAGATGGTCTGGTTCCATGGAGACGGAGGGAGTAATTCAAGAGTCATTTGTAAGGCAGAGAAAGAGCGCGAGCCCGTGGAACAGAGAACGGTCCGTCTACTGCGACCACTAATTGCTAAACGTCCTCCGCCAATGACACCTAACGCCATGATTGCTGTCTGCAACCCTGTGACGCACGGAATGGAGGACCGTGGAATCCAATCAATAGCCATCACCGCCTCTGAAGGTATTGGGTGGATTATATAATATTTTAAAAAGTCATCAAATGTGAGGTAGAGTACATTTCTAAAACGAAGCAGGTTTTTTTTGCTTTAAGAGGATTTCTGTGCTAAGAGATAAATAACACATTCAAGATAAGATATAATTGACTCAAGCTTTACCAAAAGGTGTGGTTCCTCATGCTGTACCTGCTATCTGTCCCACGCTAACAGGGTGCGATAACTCCTGTAATGTACGACTACACGACAACAAACGTCTAACTTCAACGGACTCAGAGAGTCGAGGCTTATTACTGGAGCATATTGTGCAGGAATAAATAGACTGGGGATTTATTGGTTGACCCAGTCATCCTAATAATGTCTCCCGCCTTAACATTCAACAACTTCTTACGGACAATAAAACAAGCCTTTGAGGAACGGCCAGCTCACTTAGTGAACCATTTACTGTGAACAAACAAGCTAAACAAATGCAGCAGACCGAAACCAGTGGGAATCAATGATTATTAAAGGTAATCAGAGAATTAAACCTTTGTGCAGATTACAAATTGCAAATAGAAAACTACACACGTGAAAAAACGGTAAGATAACAGAGAGCGCCGCGCTCTTTAGGTGTAAGAGGAGGAGGGAACCAGAGGGATGAGCCAAAATTAACAAAACGTTATTATAACAACTAACAGAAAAACAAATAAGAAATGTCACAGGAAAAGTCAAGAAGCCGCAGGATTTTACCACTGACCTCCCGTCTACCTAAAGAGAAAAAAGAAAAAACGCATGAAACTCAGTCAGTTCACACGCTCAAAATTAGCATCCACCCGGTTTCACCCTGAAAGTGACTGAAATCTTTAGCTTCTCTCCTTAGGTCACTTTCTACAGCCTAAAAAAAATCTTATTTCAAACATCGGTCTTTCTTCGTGGGTACTTCAGTCATGTTGTGTTTCACTTGTAATTAAAAATGATACTGATAATAATAAAGCGTGTTTTTTCAACCATTTACTTGCTCGAGCACAAGTTCTACTGTTACTGCTCAGATGGGAGCGAACCCTAAAAGTCAACGTGAGAGTCGGAACCTTACATTACAACACTGTACGTCCTGCTACGCCGCACCGTTTAAACGTTACACATCGACAAAACAAAACAGGAAGAAGTTCACGTAGATCACGTTAGTTGGGTATTTCATTTTGCCGGATTACGCCTCAGTAGATCTTTCAAACACGACCGCCGTCTAAAAACCAGTGGATCACCTCGCGATGACCACGTTCAGGTTTATTATGCTCATTAGGCCTTTAGGCCAGAAGTTGACGAATCAGTGTGGTTCATGAGTGGCACAGGTCTGTAATTACAGGAGCCAGAACATAAAATGAGATTAATATAAGGATCTTGCTAATGTTGGGGCACATTCTTAGAAGTGCATCCCCATGCTTGTGACTCATATGGATGTAATCAATTGAGGAAAAACATTCAAATATTTAGGTTTGGACGATACGCACCGGACAATGAGTCACGTCTGAGCAATGCAGCAGCAAACTGAGAGTTACCCGCTTTCACTTCTCCCGGGACAATCAGAGGCTTAAGGTCACCGCTGTCAGCGCACACACACATTACTTCTCCGCTTCGCCTCGCCATCCCGCACCTCCGTCATCCCTCTCAACTCCCTCCGTCTCTCATTTTTTTTCATTTTTCCCTCCGTGTCCTTGAACTGCGTCCTAAGAGGAGAGGCAGCCGGGCCGGGCGGTCCCTCCCTTGCCCGTCCCCCCCCCTCTCCCCGGAGACACCGGGCGTCTCGCCCAGGCAGCATCCTCCCTGGCTACCGGCCGGTGCTCAGTCTCTGATGTCACAGGCAACAGACAAGCTGCCAGGCTCTCGGTGGGGGGGGGGGGGGGGGGGGGGGGGCAAAATCGCGGTTTGTGGAAAAGCACAATGCGGGGGAGGCCTCTGTGACTGGACAATATAGTGAGAAAAGGGAAAGAAATAAGAGGAGTGGAGGAGTGGAGAAAAGAGGGGTGATAAAGAGCGAGGACACCGAAGCCACAGAGCTGAAGAGCCGCGAAGCGGATCGACTCAAACAAAGTTTCCCCCGGCTTGAGTATTTGCTGAACGCGCCGCTGCACCGAGATGCTTAGTCAGTCATTGCCGTATGAAGGAGCAGCCGAGGACAACCGGGTGGGGGGGGGGTTACCTGCTCTCCAGCTAATTTCAGCTATTCTGGTCTGACTTGCTGTGTCAGCGACCAGTGACATCCTGCATTGTTGTGCACAATGCAAGGCGGCGGGCCGGACTGGTGGCCTGAGATTATCTTGTATCTGCAAAGTGATACTGGGGGAGGGAGGGGGAGGGGTGGGGGGGTCTCCTTCCTGCCGACCCTTGTAAACAATAATAAAGATGTGTCTTAATCTGTATGACTCACAGGTGTCATCTCTGCTGCAGCAGGGCATCTGCACTCAATCTTCTCCTCCTCAATGCTTTTTATTAAAAGACCATTCCGATAAAAACAGACTATTCTGGTTTTTCTCTCACGTGCAGCTGAACAAGTCGCTTGGAAACGCACCTGCAAAGCCGGCACACCTGAGTGTCCACCCTGGGACCAAGCTCGCTAACGTTAGCATTTCCTGGATAAGCTAAAACACACACACACACACACACAACCTGACAGCCACACGACACTCACCTAGCTTCATCAGCGACGCCAGCAGCACCCACAGCGCGATCTCGAAGGGGACGTGGATGTGATGGTAGTCGAGGCTGAGCACCGGGAAAGCCTTCTTGCTGTAGTTCTGGCTCTCCTCCGCCACGGCGCGGTCCTCCGAGTGTCCCCGGGGGTCGACGTCCGGAGAGCTGGCCGCCCCCAGGGGGAACACCACGGAGCCCTCGAGAAGCACCAGCACGAGCAGCAGGAGCAGCCCCCGCTCCGGCAGACCCCGGCCGGCCCCGGGCCGGCCGCGCGGACCGGTCCCGGAAGTCATGTCGAAAGAGATAATTTAAAAAAAAATATATATATATATATATAAATATATATAAATAAATAAAAGTCAGCTCGTAAGTTCGAGGAAGTTGAAACGCGAGTTTCGTGATGCCGCTTCGTGGCTCGCTTCCCCGCTCCGTTGGGAGGACGCTAGCTCGAAGCGAACGTCCGGCGCGTCGGTTGACGTTAGCTCGACTGGCTGCGTTGTTTCCCGCGGCCAGGTGAACCGTCGCGGCCGACGGGAGGCGTGGGAGGGGCCGGGGTGAGGAGGGGTGAGGAGAGGGGGGGGGGGAGTTTCCCGTTTTCTAAAACTATAATGGCGAGAAAAAAACAACAACACACCCACACACACACACGCCGAGCGCCGGCGTGTCCGTGTCGGGCGGCTATCGTCGTCCTCCCCGGCGGTGAAAGGCGTCGGCGATGCTGGAGGCGAGCGAGACCCAGCGGCGTCCCATCGACGCCTCTTCTCTCCTCCGACCGCGCGAGGGGAAAGCGCGTCCGCGAGGCGGCGCTGCGCGGGCTCTGATCTTTGAAGAGAAGCGCCGCCGCTGCCCCGGTGCATCTTGCCCCAACTCCTATTTGTACGGACGTCTGCGTCTGTTGTCGCGCCGTGTGTGTGTGTGTGTGTCCCGGTCCTCCGCCCCCACCTCCCAAGAACGAGAAGCCCGCGGTGTGTCCGGGGGGGGGGCTCAGCCCCGGAGGGAGGGTCGTAGTGTCGCAGGGGGGGCAGGTGGATGCTGAGGCCGGTGACGACTGCTCCTCTCCAGCGGTGATGGTGTTCAGCTTCTTCGCGCAACCTTCAAAACGCCCTCCCGTTCGCGGAGGGGTGGTGGGTGGGAGGAGGAGGAGGAGGAGGAGGGGGGAGTATAGTGACACCTATAGGAATGGAGGCTCAAGTTGTCTCGCGAGGAAGACGCACTAAAACGTCCCCATAACTGCTGAAACTAGTCATGAAGGTCAAAGGTCAGGGTCAGTTCCACCGCAGCCCAGACAGAATTGGTGCTGTTAGATTCTCACCGAGGCTTCTGCATGGTCACCGCACCGCCGGTGGTCGACGCGCTCCATCGGTGCGGGGTGTGACCGAGCATCGCGAGCGCTGATGTCCACAAATGTCCGTCCGAGGCGTGCGGTTGCATACGTTTACCGAAATTGATGATAAATAAAAGGGCTTTCGGCGCGCCATTCAGCTGCCGACCAGGGAGAGCAGGTTCAACATGTTGCTCACGCTGAGTGTCTAAGGATGGTCCCACTAACCTGCTTGCTGCTGTTCTTTGTTCCTGGTGTGCAGGTGTGGGTGTGGCGTGGTGAACTATTACTTAATACTCTAGAGGCACACCTTTCAGATGTAGTAACACACGATTCTTTATCGAGAGAAAAACGTAGCAGATTGTTTTGCAGTATATAGCTTACGGTATAAATATTTGGGTTTTGAATAATACTCTAAAGTCAGTAATTGCCATGAAGGCCAAACGGTGGAATAAGTATGAATCATGTCTAGTCTAGGATCCTCTTGGGGGGGGCAGTAATAAGGTATGGTCACTGTTTGATGACAGTGTCCCGATATGATATCACGAGTTCAGGCCACAAGCGGTTCTGTGCGGCTCTTCTGTCCTCATCACTCCTTATGATGAAATGTTTTTTTTTTTTTTTGTTTCGCTGCCTCACAAATCTGTTTCCGCCACAGAATAGAACCACGCAAAGGCCCGACGATCTGGATTCACCACCGACTCCTGGAGTGGAGACTTTTCAGTTTAAATATTCAATGCACTTAATATACCGCTGAATCCATCAGCGTGCAATTAATTGATATACTTTATTGTTTAATATAATAACCACAGGAAGTTTTAGAACTTCCTGTGGTTTATAATTATATTGCTGTCAAGCACTTCCTTCAGAAAAGATTTAACAGTGGAAGACTGAACCAATTCTGCCTGTAATTTTCTCAGTTTTTTAATGCCGCCTCGCCTCAATTTCCAATTCTCACGGAATAACTGTTACACGTGTTTAGGCAGAAAAGGCCGAGGTGTAAATAATAAACGGATCGACGGCTGAATTTCATTTAAACGCTTCATATTCAGGGTCCTAGCTTTGTTGACACTGGGAAACCGGAATAGAACCATTGTTAATATTCTAATCAACACCTGTGAGCCTCCTATGCAAAGTCAAAATGTTCCATTCCACTGGGTTGGGGTCAGGGCATCCGTCTCCATTCGGTTCCTGTGTACGCAGCAAATAAAACCCTGAATGTACACTTCAACACTTTCGGTTCAGGCGGGCTGGGTTTGACGTTGTGCTGACCCGCAGGAATGAGGTGATGGGGGAGCTGAACCTTTCCGAACCGGGGGGCTTTATTCGCGGTTATAGTGACGCACGACTCCTCGTGTCCTCCTATCTGGCGTTCATCACCAAGGCGGCGCTGCGGTAAGTGAATACACGGGAATCCACCCGCGGGGACAGAGCTAACGCCTGGCCGCTTCATGCTGAGAATACTCACAGCAAAACAGAGCTCGTGCCACACGGGTGCTGCGGTGCACTCTGCAGCTCCCACCGCGGAAGCCAAATGTTCAGATTTGATCAGAGATGAATTGCACTCTGGTGGAAACAAATCCTCGGCCTCAGGAAAATCGGGAGCTGCACGTCGACAGCCTTCTAACAGTCACACAAAATCCCTTTTTATTGAACCCAGTGACCCCGAATGCAGTCCAAAGCTTATTTGTTTTTGCTTTTGGGAGGCTTCCTAACGTGTTCCTGAAGCTAAGGAAACGAAGGAAACAAAGTCTGAACTGTGCAATCAAACAATTTCATGTCATAGAACTCCACCCGCTGACCCTGAGCCCGGGTTACACATCCACTTTGACATTTGTGTTTTCTGCATGGAGTTAGTCATTGCTCCTCTCCCACAAACCACGCAATGTGGAACAAAACAAGTCAATTATTGCCAGGCAGCATAAAAAAAAAGAAGAAACTGGCTCTGTTTTCTGTCGAGCTTTGTGTTTTTTATTGCCTTTATGTTTGTTTCATTTGGAAAAAGTGACACTGACCCAAACCCCCTTTGTACAGAATCACGAGCTAAACCCAACACCAACGTGGGGAAATGAGGCCAAATGGGAACTTAAATCCCGCGCGACAAACACACGTCGATGACCAAAGGTCAGATCAAATTATTAAACCATATCCTAAACTTCTTCTACTCCTCCGCTCAGAATGACTTGTTCCTGGCTGCCAGTATCAGCTCAACACTGGAGTCTGGCTGCAGGAGGCCTGTCAGCTCCTGATGGATGATGACCCAGCAGAAAACTGGCACGAGAATTGTGCAAAATATCCGCTGGTGACACGAGGCCACGTAAGCTGTGTAAACGATGACGAGCTCCGACAGCACGTCTGTCGGCGCGTCTGCAAAATGTTTTGACGCTTTCAAAAGCACTTTGAGGCCCTTTCGGGGCGAACCTGCTTATTTGAGGATCCCCCGGGTTGACCGTCATCTCTGACAGAGCATCTGAATAATGTCTACCGTCCCCAGCAGGAAAGCACTGAGACGAAGGCGGATCATTGAAGGCCCACGTCAGACCCCGGGCACTCAAACGGTTTAGAGGAAGATCTCGGGAAACAAAAGTATCCCCCGTTGAAACCTGCTGGAGCTTTTAGTTATAATCCCCCATGTTGGGTAATAAAAGAACCGTCTGAAAGGATCCCAGGTGGAGCCTTTATGAAATGAAATGAGGATAGTGGCACAAATACACAAATCCCAAACCAGCCATGTCGCTCGTGATTTATTGAGCCGAACAAAACGAGCAAAAAACAACAACAAAAAGGAGCTTCTTCCGACTCTCCCCCTTCTGGAAAAAAAACCCATGAGCCCGCCCCAGTGCATGCTGGTCCGGTACCGGTCTACTCATGTGTGTGTCCACAGCCGCTTCTAAAATGTGCTAAACTAAATGAAAATAAACAGCTATCTGTATCAAATGAATATAACCTAAATAAACGAGCTTCTAGAGAGAATACACACAATATCACATCATGTGAATGAAATGACCGTTAAATGAATATACATCCTTCTCTCATCACACTGATGCAAACCCCTTTGCTCACCGCCTTTGCAAATATTGTTGCTCTAACTAATGTCTCGTCACGTCACGCTCGGTAAGCACACAATGGCTCCCGCCGACCGCCGCCGTCACCCGGGGTTTCGCTTCCATCGGCGTAGGCGAAGGGACATTTTCCTAATTACGGCCACGTGGCCCGCCGAGGGCGAGACAGCGACCCACGCAATGTCTGTGGTGAAATCCGGTGGAGGCTCGGAAACCGACGTGACCAGTGAAACGCACTCGCTGTGGCTGGCGGCGTGCAGGAGGCCATCTTCATCAAAGTACAGAGTTGTCGGTGATGAGAGCCCTGGAGAAATGACGCAACGCCTGAAACACGTGGGCGGAATGGTGTCGCCCACTTCTCTCACTCGCTGTGTTAAATGATTTGAAAAAAAAAAAGAGTAGACAGTGATTTTGTGGCGCATGAGTCACGAGTAAAGAGGAACTTTACCATCTTCACACGTTTGCCTCACGTGATGTCACTTGAGAATGCTTTGGAAATTGCCGGATATGGATTTCATGTGATGAGAAATAAGGGAAAAAAGGCCCCCCAGGTGGTTCCCACAACCACACCCAGAGGTGTGTGTCGAAGAGAAGGACATTTTCACTGGGCAATTTGTGCCACCGTCTGTCTCTCCACTGCAGCATGAGATGTAATAATTAAATATAAACCTTCCCTCCCTCCTCCCACCTCCTTCCTCTGCACACACACACACACACACACACACACACACACACACACACACTGGTGCCATCTACCTGAATTCAGAAGAGATCTTTATCTGAAAGAAATTCCTGACTCACTCAAGCTCAGTTATGCAGCACCACCTCCCAAAGTCAACCGCACGTCAATGCGGGCCAGAAAAAAGGTGCACGTGCAAATATGTGCCTGAAGGTGGCGCCGTCTGTCAGGAAATATAGAATGAGACCAAAGACGGGTCAAACTATGTTTTAATATCCACTAAGGGAACGTGTAGGTTAGAAAACGTGCAGGTTTCGTTACAACTTGACTCACTAGTATTTCTGTCCAGCGGGTCCGGAGACAGAAGCAGGACACGCCACTGCATGAAAACCGTCAATTATTTTGGTTGAAATAAATGTCTTCAGCTCCTCGGGTGACGACCGTCTTCAATCCCGAAGAGCGAAGCTGCAGATACAATCTGTCCGATGTAAATCAAATTCAGACGGGAGCCACGAGGCCGCATCCGGAAGTGACAGAGTCCACGTTGTTTTGCTGCTCTAATAGAAGCACTTTGCTCCGCGTCGAGGTCCCAGATGTTGTTCTTGTCTTTGTGTCGGACCTCTCGGCCCCCCGAGGCCAACCACAACCCTTACCTCATCACCACCAAAGGTGCGCTCGCTCAGCGATTCTGCCCGGCCCCGGGGTCACATCTGGCACCAGCCACAGCAGCCAGAACTTTGAACTTCAAAGCAGGCGTTAAAATTTGCTTGGAGGTGTTCCACCGTGTGAACACATGACATTGAGCTCGCACGCTGCACAACAGAACAGCGATGGCGCTCGAGGACTTTGATCACCACTCGCAGCAAATTGTCCTGTGGCTGCAATTTGTAGGTTAAGTTTCCGTCTTAACCTGTAGAGGGCCCCATTCATCCTACTGGGGTGTTTACAGGAGAACATCTGCTAGCTGGAGTTATGACTTCATCCTCAAGGCCGAGGATGAGAGGGATCTGTGATATGAGCCGTTTATCAGTTGTATTAC